TAAAGATGCTCTAAAGTAGCGGACGCTCACATCAGGCCATGCACGTAGGACCCTCCTGATCACGTAACGGAACTCAAGTAGGAGGACCGGGTTAAAAAACGTAATTGACGAGGACTGAATTAATAAAAGTATGAAAATAGAGGAACATCCGAGCTAATTAACCCTTGAGACCTGAGAGAGCCAAAAAGAACTTATTCCATCGACAGGGTCGGGTGGGAGAATATACTTGGCACCCTGACGACAATCCTACGGGTGGCAAAGAAGCACTCGCAAACCGAACAAAGCATCGAATAAGAAAGGAACCGAGGGGGAAGTGAAATGGTATAAAACGGACAGTTGGTTGCACCTCGATTTCTCAGTCGTGTGAAAAAGCTCATTCGAGTAGAGGCTGATTTATTGAGCAGAGGTGAAGAGTGGTTTTGTAGTTATCAATAATTAATCAATCTAACAGGTATGGTATGCTGCCCTGTTTACCTCCTTTCATTTTCATAGATTCCTTAAAGATTGTCTCTTAGTATTCTAGTTTTCCGTGTTTTGTGTGTGTGTGTTATCGGGAAAATCCTATGTTGCTTCCTAGGCAGATTGTTATGTTCTCTTTCTGGGTTCGTTGACATCCAAGTGATGTTGAGTACCAACCAATTTGATGTAATGGACTGCTTTTGAGTAATTTGAATCTGTTATTCGGCATTTCTGGTTATTGATGAACTGGGTTTTGCTTCAATTTCAGGGTTAGTATCGACTTGAAGAGAATCTAATATTGTGTATAATAATTGTTAAAAATGTCGATTGCAAAGCCTTTGAAGAAGGCAGTAGCTGCTGTCATTCTTGATTTGGATGGTACCCTTATTAATACAGGCCAGTTTCAGCACTTGGATTCATTGTCAGCTTTTACTTTCACCAACATTTCACTATCATATTTGTGATAAATATATATAAACACACGAGTTTTTCTTTTCAATTTCATGGCACAGATGGCATATTGGGCGATGTTTTAAAAGCTTTATTGCTCAAGTACGGAAAACAATGGGATGGGAGAGAAGCTCAAAAAATAGTGGGGAAGACACCTTTGGAAGAAGCTGCTATAGTGGTGGGAGATTATGAGCTTCCTTGTTCAGTTGATGAATTTGTGACTCAAATCACCCCATTGCTCTACGATCAGTAATTAATCTCTACACTTCTATCTAGTATTATTTAATTTGGATATCAGATCTTTTGTCATCAAGATCTCAAAACTATTAACTAGGGGGCATTTGGTATGCAGATTCTTAGATGACTTCCTATAACGTGATTGTTGGAAATATAAAAGATGGGTGTACGTGAAACACATATTTGACTTGTGTGTGGTTGATCATGTGACCAAATAGATGTGTAAAGCTAGGAGAAACACACTGTTAGATTCCCATTTTTTTGCCTCTTTTATTTTATTTATTATTTTCTTTTCCTAAAACTTGTAATGTCGGGACTTTATTGTGGCTTACTATGATCAGTGGAAAATTTTGATTTCTGACTGTTTGGGACTTGTTTTGGCGTTTGTCTCTCATTATATTACATGGTGACTCTTGTATGGATGCTCTATCTCACTGGAAGTAATTGAAATGTGTCTTTTATTAATTTGAAGGTTTTGCAACATTAAAGCTCTTCCTGGTGCCAATCGGTTGATTAAACATTTGAGTGGTCATAATGTGCCTCTGGCATTGGCTTCAAACTCTCCAAGGGCATATATAGAATCCAAAATTTCTTATCAACAGGGTAGGTTCTTGTAGGAAATTTAATGAAACCGATGAGTTTTGTTTCCTGCTTTATCTTTTGAAAATTAGCAAGTCTGGCATAGCAAAGAGTCAAACTTGACAGACATTTGTACTACTTGCTTGGTTTCTCACTTTTCATGCTTATAGGATGGAAGGAATCCTTTTCTGTCATCATCGCTGGTGATGAAGTGAGAGCAGGAAAGCCATCTCCTGAAATGTAAGATAAATTAGTTCACGATTTTTTGGATCATATATCTTGTTTAACTGAAAAAATCGTGTATGTTCTTTGATTCTGAATCTACAAGCTTGCCTTTCTAGATTTTTGGAAGCTGCTAAAAGGCTAAATATTGAACCATCCCGCTGCCTTGTCATTGAGGATTCTTTGTGAGTGAGTTTAATTCACAAGTTATTATTGGATTGAGCCTTTTGATTTGTCCAACTTTCCTTGCAAAGACTATTTAAGGAATATGCTTTTTCTTTAAATAGTGCAGTCCTAAATATTGGTTGGTGCAAAACATTGTATTACTGTCAAACAGTCTAATTCTGTCTGAATGTTTTAGTTGGCATAAGATTTGATAAAGAATTGGCATATCTTTAGGACCTGACCCCTGTTGCATCTGTTTTTAGTTTTCCACTAGGCTGGTGTTGTTCCTACCCCATACTTTATTGAAATGACAAGTAACCTTTTATTATATGTTTTTGTAATTATAAATAAGTTAGAGCATCAGAATAGCCCCTCTTTACTTTAAATATTTATAGCATAATTATAAACTTGAAAAAAGAAAAAAGAAAAAAAGAAAAAAAAGAAGTAATAATAGATGATTGCAAAATATTTAGTGATTTATTCTATCAAAAGATTAGTGAACTTTTTTTTTTCCCAAAAAAGAAGTAAGAACAGATGATGCCAAAATATTTAGAGATTTATTCTATTGAAAGATTAGTGAACACTATTTCTAGATTATTTGCATCATGATTTTTTTTACCCAATTGGTTGGTAAAATGACGGAGTATTCATAATGAATTTGTATTCCTAAACATTTATGCCTAGACTAAGAAGTAAACAAAGTTGCTCCATGCAACAACACGCGCGCGCGCGGACACACACACTCTAATATGATCATGGGTATTAGTTGCTAGTATTTTAGTATAACGCAAGGAAATTTTGGTATGTAAAACTATATAATATAGTATTATAATTAAGGAAACATATTAAAGAAGGTTATATTAGTCATGGGTAGAAAAAAGGTGGAGTGTGAATAACAGTGGATGGAGTGAGAATAACACCCCTGTTAGCTGATGTTCCCTGCCCATGCATTCTACTTTTTCTGACCCAAACAACAATTAGAATGTTGTTCATTCTGTTACGGAGTTCTATTTACTGATACTGAAATTTTTTTGTGTATGTTAGGCCAGGTGTTACTGGTGGTAATGCTGCTGGCATGGAAGTAGTTGCTGTACCATCCATTCCAAAACAAACTCATCTTTATATAGCAGCAGATGAAGTGATCAACTCTCTACTTGATTTACAACCTGAATTGTGGGGCCTCCCTCCATTTGATGATTGTAAATATCTGAAGACCTGGATCAATGTTGCAGTTTTATTTAATAAGTTTCTTTTCATCCTAGTTCTCTTGGGAATTTGATTTGTGATTGCAGGGATAGATGGTACTTTGCCATTAGAAATTTGGCATTTAGGTGGTTCTGTGGTTAAGGGATTTGGTCGTGGCTCAAAGGTTCTTGGAATCCCTACCGGTATGGAAATTTCTATGTGTTCTCTTTGTGTGTCACATTTGAATTTGTAGTTATAGAAACACATTTCAGTTTAGTGGGAATCTACTTCATTACTTATCTGACCTTGATGTCACACTTTGTTTCAATGAAACCAAGCATAAAGCCGTGTTCTCTATGCCTGTTTTGCTTGATGACTCCTATTTCATATCAGCATCTGACAAGTTTATTCATTTATTTCAGCTAATTTATCTACCAAAGGTTACTCAGCACTTCTTTCGGAACATCCATCTGGTGTGTACTTTGGTTGGGCTGGATTATCTGCACGAGGTGTTTACAAGATGGTCATGAGTATTGGTTGGAACCCATATTTCAACAGCACTGAAAAGACAATAGTGAGTTTAACACTGAAACAGCTGATGATCTGTTTATATCTTAATATATTCTCTAAATAGTTTGTGTTGTAGGAGCCTTGGTTGCTTCATGAATTTGATGGGGATTTCTATGGGGAGGAATTGCGCCTTGTGATAGTTGGCTATATTCGACCAGAGGTATAATCAACACTCATCTGTAGCCTTTTTGAATCCCTTGCTATAATCACACTAATCGGTGTTCTTTTTGCATCCCTTTTTTCCATCGAAGTCTTGCCTTCCCTTTTTCACTAAAGTTTGGGTTTGGAAAACTACAGGCCAATTTTACATCACTTGAGAGCTTGATAGCAAAGATTCACGAGGATAGAAGAATTGCAGAGAGAGCTCTAGATCTTCCATTATACCTGAAATACAAGGATGACCCATATTTGAAAGGCTCTTCCCTGTGATCGTGGCAAGCATCCATAAACTTCATGACCCTTGAAACTTTTACAGAGCTTACATTGCAGACAGCATTTGCCCATTACAGAAGACATTGGTTTGTGACCATATTGTATTCTCATTTCATGAAATGTTAGGCCCGTCTCCAAATCACCGTGGGTATAAAACTGAAACAATCCCCCAATTATTGTTACTGATGGTATATGTACCGGAAAATTGTTGATAATATACTAAAAATATAGTTGGGAAGCATTTATGCAACCTCATGTTTAAGCCTTTAGTACCATGAATAAAAACCCTTACTCCACGAGTACTTCCAGATTCATCAAAATTTGATTGCTCTTTTTTTTTTTCTTTCTAGTTTTCACATTTGAAGTGATTAGTCCTGTTTTGTTTGTTTTTAATAAGTAGTTTTTTAAAAATAAATTTTAAAATTTTTATATGTTAAAATTGACCAACAAAAAATATTTTTTAGTTAAAATAAAATTTTAGTTTGGTTTTTGAAATTTTTATTTTTATTTTGAGTGAAAAATACTTTTTAGAAATTATTGAAAATTTATAAATATTTTATTATTTGTTAATTATATCAAATTTAAATCTCAATCTTTATATATATATATATATATATATATATATATATATTCTCATTCTTTTTATTCTTATTTGTTTTTATCTTATTATTTTTTTAATTAAAATTTTTTATACATCATATTTGATCCCTACTTTTTTGATTGCTATTTATTTTTATTTGAAATAATTTATTAAATTATAATTATTTTTATTTCATCTTATAATTTTTTTATTTATCAAATTTGATCTTCATTCTTTTAATGAATTTAAAAAAAATTAAAACATTAACAAGTTATTTTTTAATTTATTTTTAATGATTTAACTAAATACTTGAAAGTTTTTTTTAATTCATTTTACATGACACTATCCAATATAAAAAAATAATTTAATTTTTAAAAATTTATTTTAAAAGAAAAACCATTTAAAAAAACAATTTTTTAATAAACAAATAAGCTTTATTCTCCTTTCGTTTTTCGTTTTCAGTTTGTAAAGTTCTCATTGTTGAAGAAGTTTCACGTATAAATATGCTCAGCGTTTTTGAGAACATCCCATGACTACCCAAAAACTAAAGATTGGTTCTACGAATAGGACTAATTAATAAAAAAATTTAAAACTTTAAGCAAAGAAATTCAATTTTGAATGGACCCTTAATTTGTCATGTTATAACTTATAAGTGTGCTTCTCTGTAGCTTAGCCCTTTTCAGTTGCAGATTTTATTTTATTTTTATTTTTTTAAGAGAACTCCCAATAATCGAAAATTTTAGATAATATATCCTTTATTTTAGAACTAAAAATTGTTTTTAAAATTAAAAGGGCACGGCTATTTCAAACTAAAGGAAAAAATTAAATAAAAAAAGAAAAGAAGAAGAAGGTAAAATTAGTGTCCGTATGGGAATCCCATCTTCTTGATCAAAAGATATGCATTTTTACATTATTTTTCTAGTTCACTATTGATTTTGAACAGGATTTTAAAGATAAAAAATATTTGAAGGCAATTACTGTATTCGTGTAATAGTAATTTATAAAATAACATGGTAGCTTTATACTAAAAGATGTTTTTCATTGAAATAGTTTAATAATAATTTTATTTTTTTACTAAAAAAAACTTAACACCAACTATCAAGGACATTAAAATTTTTTATAAGATTTATTTATTATTATTATGTTGAAAAAAAATATTAAACTTGTTTTGAATGAGTATTTTTATATTTTCATAAAAGATTTTTTTATTATTATAATGCCAACTAAAAAAACATTTGGTATTTTCTCAAATCTAACAAGTAATAAAACATTAAAATACATGGTAAATGATCAAAATGCAATTAAAATAAAAAAAAACTTGGAGTTAAGGGGTATTTTCAACTTTTCATATTGTTTTTTTTTGTTATTATAAAATCAATTTAAGTGTAATTTTATATTTGACTAAATAAAAATAAAAAAACAATAGACATACGTGTATGACACTGAGAAATGTGTAAAAGGCGCCTGCATACTTTAAGATGCACATGAAGCGCCTTTCGATGTTACAAATTGCCTTTCTATTATGTCTTGGAAACACCATCATGTTCTCTTTCATTTGAAGTCACATGCATTAGTATTGGTGGTCTGGCTTGTTACGAGTGAGTTTTTTCCCCTCTCTTCTCCTCTTAAAACTATGGCTTAACTCTTTTTGTTGTTGGTATTTCAACTTTAGTACTTATTCCTTTGATTTTTAATTTTTGTTCTTGATCTTTTTGTACAAATTTTATTTATTTTTAATTTTATTATTCCATCCTAATTTACAAATAATATATATTTTTTAATTTAATATTCATTCTTTTGATTTTTAATTTTTTTCCATGGTCTTTTTATAAAAGTTTTGCTTATTTTTAATTTCATCCTTCAATCATAATTGACGATATTTGTTTTTTCAATTTGGTTCTTATTGTTTTGATTTCTAATTTTTTTTCTTAAAACTTTTGGAAAAGTTATTATTCTTTTCAATTTTACCCTTCAATCATAAATTTATTTTTATTTTTTTTTCATTTTGATTTTCATTCTTTTAATTTTTTTTTGTGGTCCTTTTGTTAAATTTATTTTTCTTTTCAATTTCATCATGCAATGAAATATAAGAATTATTTGATATTTGAATTTTGATCCTTATTTTTTTAATATCTTTTTTTTATCATTTTATATAATTGAATTCTATTTTCAATTTCATCATTTGATATTTCATTAATTGTTAATTCAATTTCATTTTTTTTAATCCAAATAAAGCGCTTTAGGTCTAATGACCAATGTCATGAGTTTAGAAAGCTAACACGAGTTTTTTTTTTCTTTAAAGGGCTTTATAATTCTCTTTATTTTTTTGTATCGAATTATTTTGATCTCATGATTTGAATTGCAAGTTGGAGGGATATCTTAGGTTAACTCAACACTGACTAAAGAGGTTATAAGTTTGTCATGCTAATTTAGATTAACTAGGATTGGACACTTAATCATAATTGTTTTCCAATAGGGTCTAATTTGAAGGTTGAACAAATATTTACTAGAAAAAATAAAGTGTTTAATAGTGTTAAACAATGACATATTGCACATTTAATTGTATACTGAGTTCAGTAGTTAAATTTAACATTTATTCAATTACAATATGTACACATACCTGAATGTTAGTGGTATTTGTGCGGGGGATATTATAAAATGAATATATTTGAGATAACAAAGTTAAAAGGTTTACACATATATATTTCAACCTTTGTCCAAGAAAATCATCATTAGCGCGATACAAGTTTTATTGCCAATGCTATATTAACCCTTGTTATGAAAAATCTTTCAATGATGGTTGCAAGCATATATTATGAAATAAAATTGCATTACAAGTATAAAATATCATATGACAAAGCATGAAATACAAATTCTTATATTTCAAGAGAGGTTAACTCTTGATAATGTCATGATAGAGGGCAAGGTCATTCAAGCAAGAGCATGATGTAATCATACTATTCATGAGCCCGAATTATTTAGTAGATAACATAGACGTAGATAGATAGATGGTTTATGTTGACATATTTTTAGATTTTAATTACTAAAATGTCATATTATTTAAGTATTTGAGATTTATTTTACTTCTATTATCTATTATCCAATGTTGTCTATTGGTTTTCTTTATTAGATAAAGTTGTACAAGTTTGACAACATTTTCCAACTTTTTCACATTGATGAACTTCTCATTTGTATTGTTAGAGAAATAGAAAAAAAAAATGGCAATAATACTTTTTAGTAAAAAAAGTTAAATAAATAGTCAAGCATGAAGAAAAAACATGAGATATGATTTTAACAACATTCCTCCACTTATTATGGTTTGTTCTTAATTAACAAAACTAATTTTGGCACTAATATAATTTGCATACCACCATGTTATCTTGTGTTGTTGCTTTTGTTCCTTTGTCCAACTTCACTTTGTCAAGTCAATTGGTCATTAGTTATTTTTTCTCGCACATACTTTTACAACATATCACTACACAACACATTATTTTTATATTTCTATCTAGTGTTCATTAATAACACTTATAATATCACTTCATTGCAAGATAACTAGCTTTTGACCTTTTAATTTGTTCCCTGAAAATTTAGGCATCAAATTATTGGCTTATATGTTGATTAGTACTTAAAAATGCATTTTTGTCATAGTTTTATATCATCATTTTGCACTTGAAGTATCAATAACTCCTTAACTAAAGCATGTTTTATAATAATATATCTAATAATACAAGATACCTTTAATTTGTGGTAAATATTCATTTTAAATGCAGGCCTATCACATAAATGAAAGGATTGATTGATGAATTTAAGAAATGAAATTGAAAGGATAAAGAGATGGCCAAACTCCGAAAAGAGATGATGGTGCAGTCCAAACCGGAACACTGTTCGTGTATGTTAGGCCAGGTGTTACTGGTGGTAATGCTGCTGGCATGGAAGTAGTTGCTGTACCATCCATTCCAAAACAAACTCATCTTTATATAGCAGCAGATGAAGTGATCAACTCTCTACTTGATTTACAACCTGAATTGTGGGGCCTCCCTCCATTTGATGATTGTAAATATCTGAAGACCTGGATCAATGTTGCAGTTTTATTTAATAAGTTTCTTTTCATCCTAGTTCTCTTGGGAATTTGATTTGTGATTGCAGGGATAGATGGTACTTTGCCATTAGAAATTTGGCATTTAGGTGGTTCTGTGGTTAAGGGATTTGGTCGTGGCTCAAAGGTTCTTGGAATCCCTACCGGTATGGAAATTTCTATGTGTTCTCTTTGTGTGTCACATTTGAATTTGTAGTTATAGAAACACATTTCAGTTTAGTGGGAATCTACTTCATTACTTATCTGACCTTGATGTCACACTTTGTTTCAATGAAACCAAGCATAAAGCCGTGTTCTCTATGCCTGTTTTGCTTGATGACTCCTATTTCATATCAGCATCTGACAAGTTTATTCATTTATTTCAGCTAATTTATCTACCAAAGGTTACTCAGCACTTCTTTCGGAACATCCATCTGGTGTGTACTTTGGTTGGGCTGGATTATCTGCACGAGGTGTTTACAAGATGGTCATGAGTATTGGTTGGAACCCATATTTCAACAGCACTGAAAAGACAATAGTGAGTTTAACACTGAAACAGCTGATGATCTGTTTATATCTTAATATATTCTCTAAATAGTTTGTGTTGTAGGAGCCTTGGTTGCTTCATGAATTTGATGGGGATTTCTATGGGGAGGAATTGCGCCTTGTGATAGTTGGCTATATTCGACCAGAGGTATAATCAACACTCATCTGTAGCCTTTTTGAATCCCTTGCTATAATCACACTAATCGGTGTTCTTTTTGCATCCCTTTTTTCCATCGAAGTCTTGCCTTCCCTTTTTCACTAAAGTTTGGGTTTGGAAAACTACAGGCCAATTTTACATCACTTGAGAGCTTGATAGCAAAGATTCACGAGGATAGAAGAATTGCAGAGAGAGCTCTAGATCTTCCATTATACCTGAAATACAAGGATGACCCATATTTGAAAGGCTCTTCCCTGTGATTGTGGCGAGCATCCATAAACTTCATGACCCCTGAAACTTTTACAGAGCTTACTTTGCAGACAGCATTTGTCCATTATAGAAGACATTGGTTTGTGACCATATTGTATTCTCATTTCATGAAATGTTAGGCCCGTCTCCAAATCACCGTGGGTATAAAACTGAAACAACCCCCCTGAAATCCCCCAATTATTGTTACTGATGATATATGTACCGGAAAATTGTTGATGATATACTAAAATTATAGTTGGGAAGCATTTATGCATCCTCATGTTTGAGCCTTTAGTACCATGAATAAAAACCCTTACTCCACGAGTACTTCCAGATTCATCAAAATTTGATTGCTCTTTTTTTTTTTCTTTCTAGTTTTCACATTTGAAGTGATTAGTCCTGTTTTGTTTGTTTTCAATGAGAAGTAGTTTTTTAAAAATAAATTATTTTGAATATTTTTTTTATTTCATCTCTGAAAATTTAATTTAATTAGATTTTTTTTTATAAATTTTGATTCTCATTCTTTTTATTTTTATTTGTTTTTATCTTATTATTTTTTTAATTAAAAATTTTTATCCATCATATTTGATCTCTATTTTTTTTATTGCTATTTATTTTTATTTAAAATAATTTATTAAATTTTAATTATTTTTATTCTATCTTAAAACTTTTTATTTATCAAATTTGATATCTTGAAAAAAAATTAAAAAATTAAAAAGTTATTTTTCAGTTTATTTTTAATGATTTAACTAAATACTTGAAAGCTTCTTTTAATTCATTTTATATGACACTATTAAATATAAAAAAATTATTTATTTTTAAAAAAATTATTTTAAAAAAACCACTTAAATTTTTTTTTTTAATAAACAAATAAGCTTTATTCTCCTTTCGTTTTTCGTTTTCAGTTTGTGAAGTTCTCATTATTGAAGAAGTTTCACGTATAAATATGCTTAGCGTTTTTGAGAACATCCCATGTCTACCCAGAAACTAAAGATTGGTTCTACGAATAGGGCTAATTAATAAAAAAATTGAAAACTTTAAGCAAAGAAATTCAATTTTTAATAAACCCTTAACTTGAAAGTGTGCTTCTCTGTAGCTTAGCCCTTTTCAGTTGCAGATTTTATTTATTTTATTTTTTTTAAGAGAACTCCCAATAATCGAAAATTTTAGATAATATATCCTTCATTTTAGAACTAAGAAAATATATGCTTGGTTTGTTTCGGTTGGAAAAAAATCAATTTTTTTTTTAAATTAAAAGGGCACGGCTATTTCATACTAAAGGAAAAAAATTAAATAAAAAAAGAAAAGAAGAAGAAGGTAAAATTAGTGTCCGTATGGGAATCCCATCTTCTTGATCAAAAGATATGCATTTTTACATTATTTTTCTAGTTCACTATTGATTTTGAACAGGATTTTAAAGATAAAAAATATTTGAAGGCAATTACTGTATTCGTGTAATAGTAATTTATAAAATAACATGGTAGCTTTATACTAAAAGATGTTGTTCATTGAAATAGTATAATAATAATTTTATTTTTTTACTAAATAAAACTTAACACTAACTATCAAGAACATTGAAATTTTTTATAAGACTCATTTATTATTATTAAGTTGAGAAAAAATATTAAACTTGTCTTGAATGAGTATTTTTATATTTTCACAAAAGTTTTTATTATTATTATTATAATGTCAACTAAGAAAAAATTTGGTATTTTCTCAAATCTAAAAAGTAATAAAACATTAAAATACATAGTAAATGATCAAAATGCAATTAAAATAAAATAAAAAAACTTGGAGTTAAGGGGTATTTTCAACTTTTTATATTGTTTTTTTTTTATTATTATAAAATGAGTTTAAGTGTAATTTTATATTTGACTAAATAAAAACAAAAAAACAATAGACATACGTGTACGACACCTAGAAATGTGTAAGAGGCGCCTGCATACTTTGAGCAGCACATAAAGCGCCTCTCAATGTTACAGATTGTCTTTCTGTTGTGTCTTGGAAATACTATCATGTTCTCTTTCATTTGAAGCCACATGCATTGGTATTGGTGGTCTGGTTTGTTACGAGTGAGTTTTCCCCCTCTCTTCTCCTCTTAAAATTATGGCTTAATCCTTTTTGTTGTTGGTATTTCAACTTTAGTACTTGTTCCTTTGATTTTTAATTTTTGTTCTTGATCCTTTTGTACAATTTTTTTTTTAATTTCATTATTCCATCCTAATTTACAAATAATATATATTTTTTAATTTAATATTCATTCTTTTGATTTCTAATTTTTTTCCATGGCCTTTTTGTAAAAGTTTTGCTTATTTTTAATTTCATCCTTCAATCATAATTGACGATATGTTTTTCTTCAATTTGGTTCTTATTGTTTTGATTTCTAATTTTCTTTCTTAACACTTTTGGAAAAGTTATTATTCTTTTCAATTTCACCCTTCAATCATAAATTTATTTTTATTTTTTATTTTCATTTTGATTTTCATTCTTTTAATTTTTTTTTGTGGTCCTTTTGTTAAATTTATTTTTCTTTTCAATTTCATCATGCAATGAAATATAAGAATTATTTGATATTTGAATTTAGATCCTTATTTTTTTAATTTCTTTTTTTATCATTTTATATAATTGAATTCTATTTTTAATTTTTTAATTTAATATTTTATTAATTGTGAATTCAATTTCATGTTTTTTTTTTAATCCAAATAAAGCGCTTTAGGTCTAATGACCCATGTCATGAGTTTAGAAAGCTAACACGAGTTTTTTTTTCTTTAAATAGCTTTATAATTCTCTTTATTTTTTTGTATCAAATTATTTTGATCTCATGATTTGAATTGCAAGTTCGAGGGATATCTTAGGTTAACTTGACACTGACTAAAGAGATTATAAGTTTGTTATACTAATTTAGGTTAACTAAGATTGGGCACTTAATCATAATTTTTTTCCAATGGGGTCTAATTTGAAGGTTGAACAAATATTTACTAGAAAAAATAAAGTATTTAATATAGTTAAACAATGGCACATTGCACATTTAGTTGTATACTGAGTCCAATAGTTAAATTTAACATTTATTCAATTACAATGTGTACACATACCTGAATGTTAGTGGTATTTGTACGGGGGATATTATAAAATGAATTTATTTGAGATAACAAAGTTAAAAAGTTCATATATATATATATATATATATATATATATTTCAACCTTTGTCCAAGAAGATCATCATTAGCTCGATACAAGTTTTATTGCCAATGCTATATTAACCCTTGTTATGAAAAATCTTTCAATGATGGCTGCAAGCATCTATTATGAAATAAAATTGCATTATAAGTATAAAATATCATATGACAAAGCATGAAATACAAATTCTTATATTTCAAGAGAGGTTAACTCTTGATAATGTCATGATAGAGGGCAAGGTCATTCAAGCAAGAGCATGATGTAATCATACTATTCATGAGCCCGAATTATTTAGTAGATAACATAGACGTAGATAGATAGATGGTTTATGTTGACATATTTTTAGATTTTAATTACTAAAATGTCATATTATTTAAGTATTTGAGATTTATTTTACTTCTATTATCTATTATCTAATGTTGTCTATTGGTTTTCTTTATTAGATAAAGTTGTTACAAGTTTGGCAATAATACCTTTTAGTAAAAAAAATTACATAAATAGTCAAGCATGAAGAAAAAACATGAGATATGATTTTAACAACATTCCTCCACTTATTATTGTTTGTTCTTAATTAACAAAACTAATTTTGGCACTAATATAATTTGCATGCTACCATGTTATCTTGTCTTGTTGCTTTTGTTCCTTTGTCCAACTTCACTTTCTCAAGTCAATGGTCCCAAGTTATTTTTTTTTCACACATACTTTTACAACATATCACTATACAACACATTACTTTTATATTTCTATCCAGTGTTCATTAATAACACTTATAATATCACTTCATTGCAAGATAACTAGCTTTTGACCTTTTAATTTGTTCCCTAAAAATTTAGGCATCAAATTATTGGCTTATATGCTTGCACTTTTATGAAGAATTTAGCAAGCAATCATGACTAATGTTTCTTTTTTTGCTTCCTCAACACCCCCTTAACGTTGCTTTTTTTTTTCCCTTGCTGGGAGAGGATTTGTTTCCATATTTTAGCTTGGAATTTTAATGTTGATTCATTGCTATTATCACAACTAATTCATATCATTGTTGTTATTTAACATTGTATTTACCTAGCTTTTTAAAATAAATATCATGTCAGTTTATTTTTTTATCTACTGCACTTGTTTTAAAGTTTATCTTTATGTACATCTACTAAACTTAAGCCATTTTTTCATCTATATGTACCTAATTTCTTTATAAATTTTTTTTTACGAGTTGGAAAACAACCCGTGACAAATCACAAACCATTTATATAGTACTAAAACTAAGAAAGAAATAAGCTAGAGGACCATTAACCTATCCCCATGCTCCATATTATCCCTTTTAGTCAAACTAACAAATCCTTAACCACCATGTAACCTTTTATCACTACCCCCACCTCATTTGATATCATATAAACCCTAAACTTGTTAAAGTAATAGCCATTACCATATTCTCCATCATTATTAACATTTATCATTCTCCTTCCCCTTTTCCCTTCCTTTATCCCCCTACTCTATACTTTCCTCCTCCACCTCACTATAAATAAATAAAATATCTTTGGTCTTATCTCATCCTAATAAAACTTAACCACCACCACCATCATTAGCATGGAAAAGGGTGGGGATAATGGATTAGAACGATGCAATGCTAAAGAATGTTATAATAATAATAATAGTAATAGTAATAGTAGTAGTAGTAATAGAAGAACAAGAAGAAAAAGAAGTTGATGATAACTTTGAGATGGAAGATCAATGTAAGAATTAAATAATAATAATAATAACAATAAGTATAGTATAAACTCTTATTATTCAATTGAAAACCACACAGAAAGAAGATTCCAATCAGATTATAAATTATTATCATGATTATATTACTTATCTTATTCGATTAATGCTAGTACTTGTAAATCTCGTCAGACATTCATGATTATAACTTATATAACAACAAATCAAGTTCCTTTCATAACTCAGGTGTCGGTTATACCATATAGTATAGGTTATGAAAGTACCTAATTTTTATTGTACCAAGTATTATACAACATAAATCTAGATCAGTTATTTAACAAACAAAATATTAAATAGTGAACAAGATAATAAATATAAAACAAGTTAGTATCAAACATTAAAATTCATGTTAAGTTTACACTATACTTATTCTTACACCATTAGTATAA